ACACACACACAGTCTCTCTCTCTCCCTAAGGTTTTTTCCACTCTCCTCCCTCCCACAGTTTCCTACTCACTGGTGCGTTTCATCTTTCTTTTTTTGTCCTCTTGCTATCCATTATTCTTCCTCACAACCCCTTTACCGCAGGTTCCATTCTTCTTTTTTCTCGTAAATTGGTTTTAATTCCAGTTCATTTGCCCACTTAGAGTTGGGCATGTTGAATTATTGACATTGTCTCTCCATTGAGGGCTGCCTCTCTGTCTCGTTCACCTTCTGGTTTCCTTGTCAAGTAGCTGGTTTAGTGATTTAGCAAGATTCTGGTTGACTTGATGATAAGGTGCTCAGCTCACCGATGGCCTGTGTCATTTGTGGTAATAGCAACAGCAGAGTGACTGACTTCAGAGCAGCAGCCACAGAGTTTGTTTGCTGCTTGGTCAGCTCCTGAGATTATCCCTCTTGTGTTGAACAGAGCACATGGCCGGAGTTCACACCCACTGAGCCTGCATTACGCCAACACAATAGATCCCCTGCTGGTTACTCAGGGGTTTAATATTTGTGTTTGTATATGGGTGTGTTTTCCCTTTTTTTTTTTTAAGCAGACATGCTGCTTATGTAAGTAAAATTTCTGAGTAATACACAAAATTATTATTTAGAGATTTTTGACCATCCGTTGTAGGGTTAGCCTGTCCAGGACAAATGCCACAATGTATAATGATGGGTTTTTCAGAGACTGTTTCCCAGTGGTTTTAATACGAAGGTGCCTTGACCCATTTCTATGTTCCATTTTCTGTAAACAACTTATAAACTGTTCTAGATAAACTAAATATGGTAGCCACCATTTCAGGGCTGAATTAACATGCATAAGGGAAACTCTATGTTACTCACATAATTACTTAGGTCTGCAACAAACTTTTTATTTAGTGGAACAAAGTATCGTATAGTTGCTGAGGTTTGTTTACCAAACATTATCGGCTTTCGTGTATAAGGTTTATGTATGTCTGTCTGTTTGTCTGAACAAACGACTGACTGACTGACTAAATTTGACTGTTTCCATCTGCTTCACTGTGTGTTGAGTTTGGTTTTCCTCTCAGAGTAAATCAAATGCGGCATGCATGCAAATAAGCCAAAAAGGAAGGAAAGTGATGTGGCAAGGATATTATTTGGTTGTTGTGTTCATTATATTTTCAGCAGTCTATATATTTATTTTTCACATAAAAAAAAAAAGAAAATGAATGCTGTTGCATATAGAAATAGACTTAATTTACTATTTGCTATTTCAGTCTACAGGTCCCTGCCACAGATACCTTAAAAACATTTTATGGAATAAAAATTTGCTTTGCAAATCAAAGTAGTTCTGCATCACCTTACCTGTGTTGTGCATGAAGCTAGTTAAATCTGTGTTTTTGGACATCATTTATCCTTTTTAGTTTGTGTTTTTAAAGAGACTTATACATCTGAATGTCGCGTAGAAGATGTGTCCGGATGATGCTCTTTAGGAATTGTGTTAATCTTTTCAGAGAAATACAGACAACACAGAGTTGTGAATACTGATGTTCTGATACTATTTTCTATTGTAGCGTAAAAGCCAATACCGAGTACAGATCTGGTACATGTGCAAAAAATAAATAATTATATACGTCTATGTGTATTTGTACATACACATACATAACATACACATTCACATGCAGCCTTAAATTGATGTTCCACTGTTGTGCATTACTTCCGACAAAACACGTAACACAACACAAAACCTGCATATTAATATTAAACCCATCAGGTTGTAAAGACATGTTGCATAGGTTTTTCTGCTGTCTAAGTGAGTATCTCTTACCTGTGCTTTAGTGTGGAGACCCGTTTAAAGAGGAGGATGTTGTTGTGCTCAATGGCACTAAGGAGGAGGTGGAGAAGCTGAGGGAGAAGATGGAAGAGAGGCGGACCAAAGCCAAAACTAAGGTGGGTTTTTTAATTAAACAGAATACAGTTAGTGGTCGGGATTGAGTAAAGTATGCAATATTTTCTTCAGTGATTCTTTTTATATATCAGTATTTGTCTTCACTGGAAACAAATCTTTTTTCTTTGTGAACTAATAAATCCACTTAAATACTTCTATTTGATTAATTTTAATTTATTTTCTATTTCAGAAATCAAAGAAGAGCAAAACAGCTGAAATTGTGTCCACGCCATCAGAATCAAAAGGTTTGTGTAAAGCCTGGTTCAGCCAACATTCATCACATATCTGTTGAGCATTTACATAAACAAAACCAAGCAACTAACAAAAGTTAAGAACCCTTACTTGTTCTCTTCATTTGGATAATATTTGAATGTCCTATAATAGCAGCTAGGTTGGTCAAACACCTAACACATGACTTCTAAAATACTGTATTAAATAGTAGGACAGAAAATGCAATCATGTATTTTTTTTAAAAGTGACACCACCATCTGCTATAAAAAGACCTTTACTGAATTATTTGAATCTGTTTGTAGCTATGTTTACACTTTTCTGTGAGATGTTGATGATGTAGATAACTTGTAGTAAGCCACTTGGACCCTGACACATCTCATCTCATGATCATTAGATATGATAAATGTCTCTATTATATTATTTCTTTGTTTTTCAGTGTCAGCAATGGTTTTATAAAGTCATTCGATTATGTTTCATAGGCTTGACCTAACTTTTAAACGTGACACAACATTTTCAGGCTTATTAGTCATCATTTCTCCTTTTAAGAAAACATCTATCATGTAGTGGTGGAAGATTTAAGGGAATTGACATTGAGGAAAAAAAAACAAATGTGTGCTCTCCATTTAATAATTTGTTGATTAATGCTCTCAATGTAATATTGTTTTTGGTGTGAGATGGCTTTCAAGCTCTATCTCTCAAACAAACAAAGCAACAAAGCCATTCCTTAATCCATGTTGTTGGCAACATATGATGTGCAGAGTCCAGACTTTTGCCAACAGGGACAGCTGCTTTATTCCAAAAGATGTGACAGGATAAACTTGGAATTTCTGTCTTACAGCTTATCTGTCGGGTGTGTAGAAAAGTACAGGATGTCATTTTCTTTTTTACCATTAGATCCTACAAGTATGTAATAGTAAATATAAATAAACGGATTAGTCAGTGACATGTGAACACAATCTGTAAAATGTATGAATCTAACACAGGGAGCAAAGTGAAAGAGGCTGAACTCAACATACATGAAAGGCACAGTGACTTCTGGCGAGTTCTTTGTGTGTGTGTGTGTGTCTCTGCCAACACAAATAAGCAAGGAAATGCAAATCCTTTAGATGGTGTCATTGGATCAGGTGTGTGTTTGCAATGTTTTTACAGTGTTCCCCTGTGTTTATTAATCTTACATCAGAGACCCTTCAGTGTTGTTTGTCTTCAGAGAACATTGGTGTGGTTTTCTGTTCAGTGCTCCACAGCACAGGCCTCTCACCTCAGAAGTGAACAGGGTGTTGGCTGGGAAGCACTTGACATTTATTTGTGTTACTCAAATCAAAACTTTAATAGAAGAATAAAAAAGCCTATATGCACAGCTTTATACAAAGGTCATAATAACTTAAACTCGAATGAGAAACATTTTAAGCACCCTTTTGTAATTCATTATCAAGTCAGTTTGTGTTTTAATTTATATAGTAGTGCATACTGTTCATTGGAACAGAATATTGAATGTAGTCCTTTGTCTTAATCAAACTGTCTGACTCTTGTTTCTTTTCGTAGATGACACACAGTCTCCAGAAGTAGAAGTAGCAGAGAAGACCGCTTTGCAAAATGGTGGTGAAAGCAGCCATGCAGGTAGCTAACCCAACATTTAAAAAATGATATTAGTGCTGAACGTAGTATATCTGCCAGAATCACTGCAAGGAATCCTCCCCACCTTCAAACAGCAAGGCAGTCATTTTAAAGTCTGTTTAAAATGCACACATTTTGTATCTGAAATGTTGCCAGATAATGAAAAAAGGAGAATCTAGTAGTTCATATAATCAGCTGGGCATCAATTTATGTCTTCATAAATACCTTATACACCAAGAAGCCCTTTCAGAAGTCATTGCTGGATGTCAGTGTCAGATCAAATGTAAAATCTAGGCACCTATGACCTCTCTTTAAACGTAGATAGAAACCTTTATTTAATCAAGGGAAAACCATCTGAGAGCAAAGGTCTCATTAACAGTGGTTCCCTGCAAATACATAATCAAGATCAGTTTTACAATAAAAAGTGCAAAAAAACGTAAAAGCAACGTTCTTGTACAAAACATAAATACAACACGAACACGAGCAATAAGAATATAGACAGTAAAAAAATACATTACAGGGACAAAGCAGACACATTAAGAAAAACAGGAGCATTCTTCATATA